ATAATATTCCTCAGCTAATATTTGTCTGAAGAACCATCCGAACGACTAATATTTGTTAACAACACAAGCCTTCACGTTTAACTCAGTTGTGAAATTAAAAATTAAAATCTCCGATAGCTTTACTACAGAATTCAAGACCAACAAAAATAAACTTCTGTTGCGGTCCACACAAGATTTTCGTAGTGCTACAAAGTATTTCAATAAAACTAACAAACAGTTTCATACCTTCAGTGATCCTATAAAAAAAGTTCAATAAAGATCAGAAATATGTACTCATCAATCACCGAAAAAGAAATACTTTAATAACAGAATTATATTACTCTCCAATCTTTAAAACATATTTAAGATGACGGTTCTACCGTCGCTGTAGTAAAAGATTGACTTGCATCTAAAATACCCTCAAGCCTAAATGACGCCTCTGAGCTAAATTCAAATCGCCTGTTTCTCGCCCAAGAAACACCTCCTTTCTCTGCTAGTTGGTGAAAGGAGCGTAGCGAAATTTGCGTGGAGAGACGGAAGAGCGGGCCCGAGTCTCACCACGTAAAATAAGGCATTAATTTCTATTCAATACCTAGTCTCCCAATTATTTTCAGACAATTCCTTTCTTCACTTGGAGAAGACGCCGTATTCTTCATTCTGTGCAAAATTTAGTTTCATTCCGTGCAAAATTTAGTAGTTCGTAAGAGTTTTGACAAAATAACAATTACTATTCTATCATTTTTCGCGAATTTTGTGTAGTAAAAGTATGTAAATAAAATGCTTTAGTTCATTGTCGAATAATATTAAACTTGGTACACTGTGATACGCGACTCTATTTGTGGCATCCAATTTCTCCATAGAAATAAAACGGAGCGAAGAATACACAATCCTCTAAAACATGTGAAGAATTTCATATTTAAAGCATTGGATAATACTAAAAGGCTCTCCAGGATTTTGCAAGCTCGGCAAGTTTTGTAGCTCTCATGTTGAACCTGTGTGTACAATGTACTCTCTTGCTCATCACCATTTCGGAAGTATGCCCAATTAAGTTTTATGAAATGCAAGCACAAAGCGGATTTACTCTAAAAAACGCGCAACGCGTGTTCATTTTTCTCTCCTGCAACCACATCAGCACTAGCAGACCTGGGAAGGGCAGATTTCAGTTCGTTAGAACGGAACGAAATTGCGGTGTTAATGCTCCAGCCACCAATAGACGGTCGACGAGAGGTGTTTTGACGTATGAAGTGTCTTATTCAGCGTGAATATTTTCGAAATTGGTTTGAAAGTATTGGATTACTACTTTTTACGTGTTTCATTCAAGTTAATGCCTGCTATAGTTGCACAATTTGATATTCTACTATATATACAAGGCAAACTGTCGAGGTCAAATCAACTGATTTTCAAGTGTCATGCGCTAAGCACGCATGAAACGTTTAATGATACACAGACACACACACACAAATATATATATATATATATATTGACGTCCTGGTATTATAACTGACTTGCTCTCAGTGGTCTAGAATTCAATTTTTATTGTTACTTTCTCGTTACTGCTGATGTAGTATAGAGAAAGGATTGTAATTCTGCAGCTGAAAACGACGAATTTTCGACACAAAGACTTTTATTGCCGGGTTCTGGGAACGAAAAAGTGGATAAATCATCTCTATAGACAGTAAACTTCTTATGTTTTTGTGTGTTTTTGATACCGAAAAATCGATTGACAGCAAAACGTCAATTCGTCTGTCTGTCTGTGTCTGATCATCCGACCGTCTGTAAACAACGCTAGCGGCTCAACCATCTGTAGGATTTTTCAAAAAATTGATATTCCCTTAATGTCCCTAAATGTCGCGTCCCCAGAATTTAAAATCGATATTTTAATCTTCGGGGTACTTAACACAAATCCCCTAGGACATTTTCGAATTTTAAAAATATTGGCACAAATATTTATGATTAAATTTATACCTCGGATAGCATAAAAGACCCTTAAGAGAATGGTGCAGGTCTTATTTTCGTTGAAATGCATGATTTTCGAAAAGCAAAAGTTGCAAATTTGCAAGTTTTTCGGAGTCAACAACTACAATTTTGATGATAATTGTTTGTTACTGAAATATGTTCAGCAAAACAGTTCTTCAAACGAAGTAGTGTTCAATTTTTTTGAAAATATGAGTAAATTTTGCGTAATGTTATGTGAAACATGGGCTCTTTTAAAACCGTTTTAAACAATTATTTTCTCAGATACGACTTCAAATTTTATCTTTAACTGTTTTCCCCAGGTGTAGCAAAGAGCTGTAAAGAGCCCCATTTTCGGCGCACTCTCCGTATTTTCAAAAATTGTAAAAAAAATTGGAATTTTTAATTCGAATTTCATGCACTTCGTTTCAGGCGTTGCCAGTTCGCAAATTACCAACATAGTGGTTTCAGAATTCTTCGAATTCATCCCGTTGTTGTTGTTTATGATGAATCTCTTATGTAGATAATATTCCGGCGAAAGGATATAGATTGAAGGAAGGTAATGAATTTAACTTCGAATTAACACATTCACACACACCTCTTTACTTCAAGACGTTTCAATCGCTAATTATGGTATTAAAATTTGAACTCACTTCTATTTAATCAAAGCAGG